TGCTAACGAGTACCTAGCTGATTACACATTATTTATGATTGCAGGGTCGCAACAGCAACCGTCGGTACGAGTGGATCGAGTATGAGAACGGACGCACGTTCGGTACCGTCGGCCACTGTAAGCTTGGCGCCCCCAAGGTGAGAACAATCAACTGGTATTACACATAATTGACTATGTTCGAAACAATATTAACTAAATACAACCTTAGAGGGCGTGACATTTATTCTAGTTTATCAGTATGACCTGGGAAACTCCAGTAGCATATCTACACGATACATAGTAAGAGTTTCCTCAGGTGGACTCATGGTGGCGTTGGTTGTTCTGGCACTGTTCCTACTGCATGTGCCTTTGCGACGAGGCGAGCGAGCAGTCCGACCGTTACTTCAGTCTTTGGGACACGACATCCGACGTCAAAAACAACAAGTTAGTCCCTTACAAGTCAGGGACGCCCGCACAAAGTCTATAACGCTAAAGCAAAATTCTTCAGATATTCAAATGTAACTTTTAACCAATTTCTCTTCAAAGGTCGACTCCTGGTGGAAATGGAACCTTCTCCACTGCTCTTACTGCTTTTGCCTTTGCGAGGACGCGAGCGACCAGGCGCATCGCTTCTTTAGCATGAAGGAAGCGACGGCAGACTTTGACAAGAACAAGTCAGTACCCGGAATCGGGTTCAATAGGACATGCATATTATATGGGAAACGTAGAGCTGTAGTTGGGTATTGGGAACGCTTCGGGTATTTAATACGTAGTCATATTCTACTAACAGCACTATTGTGCGGGTGTCCCATATATTTTATGTTGATATATTATAAAGCATGCATTTTCATTGGGAAGTCTAAATTGTAGTGGGCGAAGTAACAATTTTTTGAAACATTGCAGGGTGGTGACCGGCCTTCGTCTAGTGAAACTCGGGAGGGTATTCCACCTGCAGATCAGTGAGGGCACTCTTGGCGAGCGAGGGTCAGTGATCCCTGGGGACTGGGTGCCGATCCAGAAATTTGACCCTTCGGAGCCTGGCATGAGGGATGGAGTTGACTACCACAAGCTGACGTATGAGAGGAGGGCCATCGACTTGGACGAACTGGACTCACCGGCTGGACACATCTTGACTGGAGTCAGGTATGTCGAGTCTTTAGTGTTATGGTCATTTTGGAATTTACGAGATTGAATGGTCTCGTTTCATTTTGAGATCTCTAGCAAACTGTGGGGTGCCAAACCAATACATATGAAAATAAAATCAATAAAGTCTATTTTTCTTCATAATTATTTATTTTTTACAGATTCCGCATGCTGGGCGCACATCTGCACTTCGAGATCCGCTCGACGCCGTTCAACTACGCTACGGGACGCCTGGCGCCCGAGAGGAGCCAATGGATCAGCAACGACAACACAGACGGAGCGGAGATACCCAGGTAAATTAATTAACAATAATTGTCTCTAATTAATACCTACAAATACAATACACTTCTTGGTTTAGCAGTTTACAATATGTACCAGGAATTTAAATGACCATTAAGAAGACAAAGGCATCTGAATAGTATAGTTAAGTCAGTTTTTTGTTCCAATGAGGTTACTATTCGTCACAATAGGTAAACCTTTTGTTTCATTCAGCTTACAACAAATGTACCTAAGTTACAATATCACCCAGAAGATGAAGATAAGCTTTATGATAAAGCGAGCCAGTTCAGACATACAATATCAACATGACATAATATTATGTTTTAGTTTTAGGAACGCTGTTCATGAAAAGACCTCAACAAAGGTTCTCAATTGAACAGGAATGCAAATGTGACTAGCATCTAAAAATCTGGTCACTTTAGAGATGTTTTATTGTAAATACCATCGATGCTGGCAAAGGTGACTGAGTTTCTTGTGCCACTTCTCAGCAGCAGCCCATATGTTGTCCCGAAGTGGTGGTAGGGCAAGCTATATCTGGGACGTGTATAAGTGCCCTGGAAAGGGCCTATGTACTGAATAAACTATTTGATGTCTTCAAAAGCCAAACAACTTGGTATTTTCAGAAAGCGCCTCGAGCTATACAAGCCCGACATCCCGATCCGTAGCAACACGCCGCTGCCTGTCGACTCATCTCACGACCAGTTCATAGAGTTCACGCACACCGACTACGAGGCCGACGCGGCGCAGTCCACCGTGCCTTTCGTGGACATACAGCCCGTTATGCCGATGAAAGGTAATATTATAAACGCATTTTGAATTATTGAACATAATTGTCAGGTAATCAACTATAGAAATTGCAGCGAGACTGTATTGCAATAGAAAAAGACGCGAAATCACGCAAGACATCTAGATCAACGCCTAATTTAGAATTAGATCCTTTCAAATGACTTCTGTCACAATAGATCAAACCTGGTCGAGCTGGCGCAAATGAAGGCCCAAAAACCAATAATAATAATTTCAAATGACTTTAAGCTTGGACTTTGATCGATGTGTTGACGATACCCACCAAATACCTACGTTACTGCGAGATTTTTTGGTTGGAGAGATTAAAAATACATAATTTAACATGAAAATATCAAGAAATGAGTGATTTCGAAGCGAATAATAATGATCATAATATCGATGTCATAGTTCAATCATAAATTGATAAGGTCAACTTTTTCTACGTGACTGATAAATATAAACATCCGAATTGATTCAATTGATTAAACTGAACGAGTCTTCAGTTCGTCTTTTCATTATTTAACAGCACCTACTCAATATTTTAACCAAGTCAAACCTGTGCTCGTGAAATATAGCAATTTATGTTTTTCCCTATTTAAAATAGTGACTGAGTTTCTTGCTTCTTCTCAGCACTGGTCCATTGATTCCGAAGCAGTGGTACGGCGCAAAAGCGCTTTTTAAAAGCCTATACTTGCAAAAAATAAATGAGTTTTTATTTCCCCAGGTGCGGGCCTGACCAGCGGCGCGGGGATCATCCACCGAGGGGCGCGGGGTTCGGGAGGGTTCATCGGAGTGAAGCTATTCACGTACGACTACTCCGCGCACATTAAGGCAGAGCCGCCGGCCAGCGAGTTTGATTCTGACTCGGACACCACCGAGTTTGTGCCAATCGTCAACTAGGTTAGGACTGTATACTCATTTTGTATGTAGCGTAATTTTTAGGACTTTTTTATGAAACGAATAAAGTTTGTAAGATAATTGTGGTTGTTATTTGAATATTCCATTTGCTGTGAGCGCAGTCGCAACGTCATACTTCCAAGACAAAACCAATGACAAATTAAACTTGTCTATAATTATGTTTGTTCCAAAGTTCCCAGACTTGGAGCTACGAAGTTTTAAAAGGAATACTCCCATTATAATTGTCAGAGGGGTTCATCGGAGTGAAGCTATTCACGTACGACTACTCCGCGCACATTAAGGCAGAGCCGCCGGCCAGCGAGTTTGATTCTGACTCGGACACCACCGAGTTTGTGCCAATCGTCAACTAGGTTAGGACTGTATACTCATATGTGTAGCGTAATTTTAGGACTTTTTTATGAAACGAATAAAGTTTGTAAGATAATTGTGGTTGTTATTTGAATGTTCCCTTTGCTGTGAGCGCAGTCGCAACGTCATACTTCCAAGACAAAACCAATGGACAATTTAAACTTGTCTATAATTATGTTTGTTCCAAAGTTCCCAGACTTGGAGCTACGAAGTTTTTAGCGAGTTTGATTCTGACTCGGACACCACCGAGTTTGTGCCAATCGTCAACTAGGTTAGGACTGTATACTCATATGTGTAGCGTAATTTTAGGACTTTTTTATGAAACGAATAAAGTTTGTAAGATAATTGTGGTTGTTATTTGAATATTCCCTTTGCTGTGATGCGCAGTCGCAACGTCATACTTCTAAGACAAAACCAATGGACAAATTAAACTTGTCTATAATTATGTTTGTTCCAAAGTTCCCAAACTTGGAGCTACGAAGTTTTAAAAGGAATACTCCTATTATAATTGTCAGAAGGGTTCATCGGAGTGAAGCTATTCACGTACGACTACTCCGCGAACATCAAAGCGGAGCCGCCGGCCAGCGAGTTTGATTCTGACTCGGACACCACCGAGTTTGTGCCAATCGTCAACTAGGTTAGGACTGTATACTCATATGTGTAGCGTAATTTTAGGACTTTTTTATGAAACGAATAAAGTTTGTAAGATAATTGTGGTTGTTATTTTAATATAAATTCTATTGCTGACATGCGCAGTCGCAATGTCATACTTTCAAGTCAAAACGAATGGACAAAATAATAAACTTTGCTCCTATTCTTCAAAGTAGTCTCCTTTTATTAATGCAGGTATCTATCCTACACTGTCAGAAGTCCCCTTCTACGTTCTACTCAGCGTAAGCTGTCCACGATGGTGTGATTAATACTTTGACCCTATGCGCATAAGCAACCTTACCTTATGGCACCCATAACGCTTCATTGCACTGAAGCCATTAGTTAGAGACTTCACATGGTGTCTGCATGTGTATTGCCAGGTCCTCAAGATAGCTCGAGGTCCTTATCGTCGTGTACAAATACAAATCATTTGGGAAGAGAGCGTCCGGACCTAGTAAAACTGAATCACACCCAACCCCTCAGTCCGAGTCATCTGATGCATTGATTGAATACAGGGAAAGATATTTTTCAATGTTTTTGAACCTTATGTTTTCTCAATAAAGTTCAAAATATTCAGCCGGTATTTTTCAACTGTCATTGGAATAGACATGTTGACACCACCAATCGATTGGCGTACTTTTTAAAACTGTCAAAACGAAAATCTCCCATAGATTTTGTATGGCACTACAAGCAAGTGACGTCAATATTTTGTCAACTCAAATAAACTACTTTTTTCAATTACAATGCGACCAAAAATCGTAATTTACAGGTAATTTAAAATTAATTAAGTTATTAAGACCAGAATGAAGTGTCTTTTTAGAAAAGTTGTGATTTCGAATTATTGGAGAATGTTGTCAAACTGTCCATTGAAACCTTAACACACAGCAATAAGTACGCACCTGCACTCGTAGCGGGTGCACGCACAGTAGCGCGAGTAGATCGGGCGGCGGCAGCACGTCGCGCGCGCGCACGCCCATAGCACGCACTCCGGCGCACAGGAACGCGCCCAAGTACCGGTGTAGCGGGAAGTGGAACGATGCGTGCATCACCTCCGTCTGCAATGAGAATACGAGTTAGAAATGCTGCACACACCCTTTAAGCGTGCGACACGTAGACAGAATCTACAGCTCCACTGCTAATGAAACTAAAGCCCGGTCTGTGAGCCCGTAGAATTTTTTCCAATGACCCCAAGCTACCCATCCTTATCGCTCGCGCGTAATTATATTACTGTCGCGACTATGCGACGGGCGCAGTGAGTGTGCGAGCGGGTCATTGGACAAAATTCTACGTGCCCGCAGACCATACTATAGTGGAAGTAGGTTTTATGAGTCAAGATTGTTGCACTTTGTCGCACGCTCATGGACTAACTTCTGTAAGGAATTTACAGCTTCGACGCCAATGAAACCCTACCAGTAAAAGTAGGCTGTGAGTAGTTATGGAATCAGAAATTAGGGAGTGACTGAAAAGATGAGCCGTAGATTTAATATGTGGCCGTGGGAAAAGTTGAGTTCGAATTTAATGAAGCATCGGTAGTTATAGATAGGGCTCAAGTTACAATAATATATCCTCCGAGACTACTCAACCTATACTGGCTGGGTTTAATCGGAGACCAAGCAAAAATTGCGGGCCTCTGAAAGATAGAAAAAATCAACAGTACTAACGCGAGCGCACGCACGTGCGTCTGTATTAAAAAGTAGTATGAGCGGCGCAATTTGACGGGTATTTAGTTTTATACACGCGCGGTAAGCGCCGCGAGCGTGCACTAATAAGCGGGCGCAGCGGTGACCGTTCCATGCTCCCAGGCAAGTTTTAGCGTAGGCCTTAGACGAGTGCCCGCCGAATCACGTATATTCACCTGTGTAAGAAAGCCACTCACCCTCTCCATATGCGGCGCGGTGAAGTGCACGGCGTCCAGCCACTCCTGCAGGTACTCCTCCGACAGGTGGCTCACCAGCGACCACATCGGGTACGCTGCCTCCAGCTCGCGAGAGCGGCGCATAGCAAGGGCCTACGCTAAAACTCACGTGAGCGCACGCTCGTGCGCCTGTATCGAGGGCAGGCCCGCGTCAGACGTCCACAAGTTTTAGAGAAGGTCCTTAGGCGCGCCGGCTTCACCAGCCGGATAATAAGTATGAGCAGCGCAGTGTAGTGCGTGAAACGAGTATCTAGTTCTCTTAACGCGCGCGAGCGTGCACTAATAAGCGGGCGCAATCTTCAGACGTCCGAAGCGGTGACCGCTTCGTACTCCCGAGCTAGTTTTAGCGTAGGCCTTAGACGAGGGACGATCTCACGTATATTCACCTGTGTGTGTCAGACGTCTGCTAGTTACATTGAAGATCCTTAGACGCGCCGGATCTGTCACCAGCCGGATAATAAGTATGAGCAGCGCAGTGTGGCGCGTGAGATGGGTCTCTAAATGCGCGGCAGGAGTCAGGCGCATGCCGCTGGCGTGCACTAATAAGCGGGCGCAATCTTCAGACGTCCGGAGCGGTGACCGCTCCGTGCTCCCTTGCAAGTTTTAGCGTAGGCCTTAGACGAGTGCCCGCCGATCTCACGTATATTCACCTGTAAGAAAGCCACTCACCCTCTCCATATGCGGCGCGGTGAAGTGCACGGCGTCCAGCCACTCCTGCAGGTACGTGAGCGCGGCGGCGATGATCCGCCTGGCCAGCGGCGCGTGCGCGGGCTCCGACAGGTGGCTCAGCACCGACCACATCGGGTACGCTGCCTCCAGCTCTCGAGAGCGGCGCATAGTAAGGGCCTACGCATAAACTCACGTGAGCGCACGCTCGTGCGCCTGTATCGAGGGCAGGCCCGCGTCAGACGTCCACAAGTTTTAGAGAAGGTCCTTAGGCGCGCCGGCTCCACCAGCCGGATAATAAGTATGAGCAGCGCAGTGTAGTGCGTGAAACGGGTATCTAGTTCTCTTAACGCGCGCGAGCGTGCACTAATAAGCGGGCGCAATCTTCAGACGTCCGAAGCGGTGACCGCTTCGTTCTCCCGAGCTAGTTTTAGCGTAGGCCTTAGACGAGGGACGATCTCACGTATATTCACCTGTGTGTGTCAGACGTCTGCTAGTTATATTGAAGATCCTTAGACGCGCCGGCTCTGTCACCAGCCGGATAATAAGTATGAGCAGCGCAGTGTGGCGCGTGAGATAGGTCTCTAAACGCGCGGCAGGAGTCGAGCGCATGCCACGATCGTGCACTAATAAGCGGGCGCAATCTTCAGACGTCCGGAGCGGTGACCGCTCCATGCTCGTGCAAGTTTTAGCGTAGGCCTTAGACGAGTGCCCGCCGATCTCACGTGTATTCACCTGTGTACGAAAGCCACTCACCCTCTCCATATGCGGCGCGGTGAAGTGCACGGCGTCCAGCCACTCCTGCAGGTACGTGAGCGCGGCGGCGATGATCCGCCTGGCCAGCGGCGCGTGCGCGGGCTCCGACAGGTGGCTCAGCACCGACCACATCGGGTACGCCGCTGCTTCCAGCTCGCAAGAAAACGCCGCGTAGTAAGATGAAGGTTCGAACTCGATGTGACCGCCGGTTTCGCGGATGTTCACGTTCATGCCTGCGTGATATGAGAGTGAGTTTAGACAAAAAAAAATAGTAATATAATACAAGACGCGATTTACTGCAGATATAAGCCTCATAAAGTTAATATTCCTTCGGAATAAAGCAACAACCACGATCTGTCAAACGAAACCGATTTTAGGGTGTCACTGATTGTCACTGGATATCATTTGTATGTAAATATCAGGATTTTAAATAATATGCGCAGAACCGGTCGTTTTGGAGATCCTTGTGGGAGGCCTTAGTCCAGCAGTGGACGCCATTTGGCTAAAGCAAAGCGAATGCAATATTTAAAAATGAAACTACAAGTGAAGCTTCCGTTGCACTTGTAGTTTAGTTTTTAAATATTACATTACATCTTATCGCCGCGTATGACAATGTAATCATCGCCGTAAGCCGCTACTTTAATCGCGACTACATCGGCAAGCTATGCTCGACGTCCCGGAAAGTTTTAATGTGTCGATTTTATCCAACAAATAATATGGTATGACTCTGTTTACTACATAATGTTGTTACAGTGAAATAACACATTATTCAGTACGTCGAAAACCTGTTTTTATTCTTTAAAATAAGCCGTTTCAATTATTACGTGACTATCTATTAAATTGCTGAAATAATTTATGAGATCATAATTGATAATGATTGCGTATGTGGTGGTCCACTGCTAGTGGATATAATTAATTATCCAATAATTTCAAGGAAATTCTTGAAAAATCCAATTTAGGTTCGACAACCCATTTAGTTTTCTATTAACTTTTAAAGATCAATAAATAGTTATTTGATTTAGCGGAAAGGCAACGTTACGTTTTCTTCAAAATAAATTATCAAAAGGGTACGCTACGCACATCCCAACGTCCACCCGAGCCACCCTTGAGCCCGCCGGCTCACATGATCGCGCTTTCGTCTAAAGCCCGGTCTGTGAGCACGTAGAATTTTGTCCAATGACCCCAAGCTACCCATCCTTATTGCTCGCGCATAATTATATTGCTGTTGCGACTGTGCGACGGGCGCACGCAGTGAGTGTGCGAGCGCAACAGCAACATAATTACGCGCGAGCGATAAGGATGGGTAGCTTGGGGTCATTGGACAAAATTCTACGTGCTCACAGACCAGACTATGGACAACGTCACGAAGCCGATCAGATACGCGCGTGCGCTCTGCGTCACTAGCCGATATTTGTTATCTCATTTATTTTGTACTCACCCTGCAGCATCGACAGGAATTCGAACCACATGTCGACCAGCGCGTCGTCTTGTAAGAACAGCAGCGCCACGCTTTTATGCGACAGCACGTTGTTGAAGTCCGACACCAGAGGCCAGTAGCAGTGCTCCTTCATGACGCGCCGCGTGCAGTCGATGACGTAGTGGAAGTTCTGCTCGGGGTCGTGAAGTGTGTTCTGGACTAGGATCTTGCCCATCATCAGGCGTAGAGATAGCACCATCACGTGTAGCAAATGGAGTTGCTGAACGCAACGGAGCGCGAGGGCCTGGAAATAAGAATTCGATTATAGTGCCGATTAGCCAATGTGTACATGCATTAGACATTTAGACTAATATCAAAATGCATAGAGATATAGAGAGATGCTGATGATTCGCTGAGTTCGAAACTCAGTATCGCATTAGAAATTCGCACACACAAAGTAATCAAAATATGCGCTCATTATCCACTGCGGTATCGGTACTCAACATTCGAATATTATTGAGTACTACGCAAACAATGTAAATTGTTTACATTATGACGTCGCTGCTGTCATCATTGCTATCACGATCAATGTGTTCTGTTTTTGGGCACATTGCTGCGACACTGGCCCCGCCCCCTTGTCACATCTCCCTTTAGTTTCTGTGATCTTTGTCAAAATATTATAATACTCGAACTAACTCGTATATCACGATCGTGCGCATTAGGTTTTAGAAACAGTTTCATTTGGACAGATACCTCGTTGGAGAACAGCTGTACCGACATGTGGACGACGCGGTTGGACAGCGTGTCGGGGTCGGACGCCGCCTCCAGCACCAGCGGGATTCGCGCGTAGTGCATCACGAACGTGCGGGTCAGGTGTTCCTGGGGACAACGTTTTATTAACTTAGGCTGGCAATACCCCTTCGATCTCAAAGCTCCAACTATCAAGCATACAATGAGGTTTAATAGTTCATGCCCGTGAAAAGCCTCTTCAGCTTGCAAGCAAAAATAAAATAGGGTGGAATGGACAAGTTAGAAAAATTAAGGTACAGATTACAGTGCTTCTTTGGTTGATAGATAACCAAATGGAATGAAATTAAAGACACTGTGAAATGCAATAAAGTATTGAGTATTGAATTTGAAGACTCTTCTAGAGTCTAGAAGACGTCGTATCGTCAGTCGTATATGTCTTCTAGACGTAGCTGGAGGCATGACTTTCCATTGGCAAGTAAAAAGTAAATAAAATCTCTCAGTTTTTCATTGTGTGAAAAATATCGAACAACAGCGATATCGAGTTAAGAATAGTAGTCAACCTGTCGTTTATACTCTGTACACTTATCGACCTTGTCGTTTACGTTACAGAAATCAGAATTAATCTACAATCGGAGTGCAAATTAATTGTTAATCTTTGTTCAGTGTACTTTATTTTTAAGCCATGATTTTCAATCTGTTGCTGTTTTCTCACTAGCGCCCTCTGGTTTTTTTTATGTGATAGGAGGCAAACGACTAAAACTAAAAACTAAACTAAAGGTGTAGGTTAAAACTAACCTACACACTATTCTCACTGTTTCTCAACTGTTACTCACTTTGTAGTCTTGATCGGGCAGCATATTGAGCAGAAAGCAGACGACGTTCTGCGGGAACTCATACTTGAACGTCCAGAATATGAACTCGTCGAGTAGTGTGTTGTGTTGCAGGCGCGGCGCTAGGGCCGGCAGATGTCGATATCTGGCGAGAGAAAGATGTTTTTATAATATTGCTCAAGTTTAAAAAGTTTATAAAGGTTTCTCAAGGGATTGCGCGCGTTATAGGGACTCACGGCAAGGGATTTTTAAGTGACGATTAATAAATAAATAAATAATAAATAAATATTCTTAGACATTTTACACGGCGCTTCTAGTCCCAAACTAAGCAAAGCTTGTACTATGGGTACTAGACAACGGATATAAACGTACTTAAATAGTTTTTTTTTTTGTAAATACATACTTATTATACATAGAAAACACCCAGTCCAATACAAACAAATATGTTCATGCACACAAATGTTTGTAGTGTGCGGGAATCGAACCCGCTACCTCTGGAATAGTAGTCCGTTTCGAACCACTACACCAAACGGCCGACAAAATAATAATGTTAGGGTACAATAAAACTACAGTTGAAATTGCAATGTAGGCTGTCGCTTCAGTATTCCTAATCATGCCGAGGCTTGTCAAAATATCAACATTGCAAATTTACCGTAGCGTTAAAACTAGTACCCGTTTATGTGCGCAGCCCGTAAAAATAAGAAAATTCAAGTAAAGCCTTCCTTCAGGCATAATAAAATGGTTCAGGGCAACAGTTTGCTGGGATTTTTGATTCTTTCGACTACGGCCAAATCATAAACAGAAGGTCAGTTGGTTTAGAAAACGGCTGATCATATCATCAAAAGAAATAATGTTCTTGCTTCGAATATCACGTTTAGGCAAGTCGTAGTAGACGCCTACAGATGGCGAGTTCGAACCCAGTCAGTACAATGCCTGTGATGCAAGGAATTACATAGTGTTTATTGTAAAACTGTAAAAGTATGACTGATGTGGCTGAATAAATATACTCACTCATCAGGAGGTTCCGGCGCGGGGAAGGACTCGATAGCTTTCTCGTACATTTTGTTGGACTCGGCCATGTAGCAGCCATACTCCGTGTCCGGGAACGGCGGCTCTACTAGGTTTCTGTACATCTGCGAATAAAATACATTAACATATTAATACACAGCTTTGGTAACATGAAGAGTCACGACCATGTTCCTTTGAGGTGCTTTATTTTCTTTTGACTTATTGCACAAGCCACTCGTTTTATGTTCGTTGGTTCCAGCTATTGCCGTCAGTCAACTGTCAGTGCTTAGGTAGAATTTACGGCAGGGTCAGAGGCACGCAGAGGGCAAACAAAGCGCCCTCGAGTGAGGCCCGAACCTAGGTTTAGGTAAGCCTTTGATAGGAAAATGTAAGGCTAGTTTTAGAATTGCGCTGACGCACGCTGACCATCGACGCTGACAGCTGAAATGTATGAAGCGTCGGCGCTGAGCGCTCAGCGTCAGGAATGTTTCATACATATTGATCAGTCAGCGCCGACGATCAGCGAGCGGTTAGCGCGATTCTAAAACCAGCCTAAAAATATCACTGGCTTGGGGGGAGAAGCGGCATGGGACAAGTCAGTACCGCGCAAAAAGACATCAAGTGGGATCGCGACACGGGTCCTCGCCAACGGACGGAATCTTGGTTGTTGTGGTGTGGTACTATTTTGCGTGAGTTAGGCGCCTTCGAGTGCCCAAACCTGCGGGTTGATGAGCGCCTTGGTCATAGCGGAGCGCATGAAGTCGCCCATGTTGTCAAACTTCATGAGTGAGAAAAGACGTATCAAGTGGATCGCGACTCGGGACCTCGCCAAAGAACGGAATCTTGGTTTGGTGATATTTTCTATCTATTGTTCTTCCTTCGAGTGCTCTTACCTGCGGGTTGATGAGCGCCTCGGTCATGGCGGAGCGCATGAGGTCGCCCATGTTGTCAAACTTCATAAGTGAGAAAAGACTTATCAAGTGGATCGCGACTCGGGACCTCGCCAAAGAACGGAATCTTGGTGTGGTGCTATTTTACGTGAGTTTTTCTTTCTTTAAATGACGGCCCATACCTGGGGGTTGATGAGCGCCTTGGTCATGGCGGAGCGCATGAGGTCACCCATGTTGTTAAACTCCATGAGCATCTGCACGTAGAACTCGCAGTCGTGCACCGCGATGCGATAACCATCCGACTTGGACTGCGCGCCCGCTGAGGTGCTGAAGTTGTCGCTGGAACAATGGCATAGACAATTAAAATTTATGACCAACTAGCTGACCCGGCGAACTTTGTTCCGCCTTAATGGCAATAAATAAGCAGACTTTTTTTTTAATTTCGAACGGGATAAAAAGTATCCTATGTCCTTCTCCTGGCTCTAAACTACCTCCCTGACAATTTTCAGCTAAATCGGTTCAGCCGTTCTTGAGTTATAAGCGAAGTAACTAACACGACTTTCTTTTATATATGTACTAGCTGACCGGCGAACTTTGTTCCGCCTTAATGGCAATAAATAAGCAGACTTTTTTTTTAATTTCGAACGGGATAAAAAGTATCCTATGTCCTTCTCCTGGCTCTAAACTACCTCCCGGACAATTTTCAGCTAAATCGGTTCAGCCGTTCTTGAGTTATAAGCGAAGTAACTAACACGACTTTCTTTTATATATATAGATATAAGATAAAACCACAAAGTTGCACAGCGTGCTATGGAGAGGGCTATGCTCGGTGTTTCTTTACGATCGAATAAGGAGATCCGTAAACAAACTTAAGTGGAACAAGCTGAAGTGGCAATGGGCAGGGCTCATAGTACGCAGAACTGACGGCCGATGGGGCAGCAAGGTTCTGGAGTGGAGGCCGCGTACCAGAAAACGCAGCGTGGGTCGTCCACCCACAAGGTGGACCGACGACATCATAAAGGTAGCAGGAAGGAGCTGGACGCAGGCCGCTACCAATCGGTCAACATCGAAATCATTGGGGGAGGCCTATGTTCAGCAGTGGACGTCGTATGGCTGAAATGTTGATGATGATGACCAATTTCAGACAATGGTTGTTTTTTACTTTTTTAAGTTGAGAGCGTAACGGTTTTCCTGCTGCTCTTGCCTACCTCGTTAGATCAATATCTAGGCGTTTTCTATACATATCCCTTTACACACGAGAATAAAAAAGTGTCAATATTTTAATAAAACATAACTTAGGGGTTATTTTAGAGTTTAAATAAGATTAGAAAAATACTTTAAAAAATTTTGAATTTTCAGTTTTCCTGAAAGTATGCCCTCACGATAGTGAGGCTTCGGTATAATTTGTTAGTCTCACGATAGTGAGTGTTATACTATTTAGTTAATTTATTTAATGAAAACTACTAATTTATGAGCACATACGTATTCATTTAGTGATAGACCCCTATAAGTAAAGAGTAAGCTATAATTTAACAAGCAAATAAACCTCTTTTAGCAAATTGTCTTACAAAAAACTAATTAATTAAAAAATATCCACCTTTTGACAAACTTGCAAAGTAAAAACCTTTATTAGTTTGGTTGGTACCAATATGTGGTCCGAGATGATTATTAAGAGATTGTAAAATAGAACAAAATTACTTTATAATTAATAATAAAGAAATAAATGTCATTTTTATGGCTTAAGATGATATGACTGGAAACAGCTTTTTTGCGAGAAAGGCACAGGTAAACATCTCACTTAGCACATTTAATTTTTGACCAGCTAGAACATCCTTCCAACATGTAACACCTCGGTGCTTTTTAGCCAGGTAATCGTTCTCATCTGTGTTATTATTTGCTTTCTGACCTTAAAAGTCTATATTATATTGTTTATGGATTTCGAGTCGTTTAGTAAATTTTCGACACGATGCTCTTTATTAGGATATCTGTTTAAAGCCTCAGCTATGCTGAAACGAAAATCTAGTACTGCTAAAATGTCTTTTTTTGAATAACCATTAGCTGTGCAATCAATTTTCTAAAGCCGCCGCGAATTAACAACTGCCAGTTCCAAAATTTAAACTAGAACTTTCAAACCCTATTATCTTGTAATAAAGGTTTGGTGGCATTCCATTTGTTAGTCCAGAATATCTACACCACTCATATCGTTCAACGATTGAATAATAAGATGGACCTCTTTGCAGGTATATTGATCCATCATTTATCATGTGTTGCACCTTCCAAAGCGGTTGTCTTGTTCTGTTTCTGCTAGTTGGTCATGGTAAAATACATAAAGGGAATGTCGTGTGTGTACAAATCGGTTATGAACTATTTTGTTAGCAATAAGCCCCTATTTTTTATATTAGTGTGTCAGTACATATGCAAACATGGGTCCGGAAGGCATCTCATGAAAATATGTGCACCGAACACTATAGCAATTTTGGTTCTAATAGTTTTTAATTCTTTATCGATTTAACGCATGTACTGCAAGTTTGTACACCTAGCCATCTCTTTGTAAAATGTGTCATTAAAATAATCAATTGAGATACTCAGTTGGAGTACGAATTCAATTTGTTTGAATTTTCTTCCAAATTGACCCTGTATTTTGTTGCGGACGTGGCTTTTGTTTCAGCTTTTGCTTGCCACATAGTATTTTTAAAATGTCTGACCAGCCTTGCTGATTCATGTTCAGGGTCTACTTCGTCTCCTGAGCTTTCATATTTGGTATTCTATTCTTCAAAGTCCGTAAAATCCCGAAATTGTGTTTCCTGGTCTTTTTAGTCATAAAAATCTTTAATTTTATAGTCGGTTGCGTTTCCAAATAATGCTACGACACATCTTTCATATTTAGGATGCACTAAAATTGAAAAACAACTAAACACTAAGCCATAATATCAAATAACAAATAAAATAGTTTTCAATCAACTTTTGGAGGTTTGACCGACCAGCTACGATCGTGCGACTTAATTTTTTGGTAGTAATAATTATTAATTTATGCAATGAAATAACAATAAAAGTATTCCATTCGGATAATCACTGTTTCCGTAATAAAATAAAACTATAACACTTATCCGAAAACAACAATAACCACATAAAATCAATATTTACACTGGCCGCCTCTCGTACCAAAAAATGCAGTCAACATTAAGTCCGAGTAAACGAGCACTGACAGATCCCAACACTAAATGAGCGGCACTGTGTGCGAGTAAATATCTCTCACGAGCGATCGCTGCCGATTGCGGCCGCAAAAACAAGTTTACATGGGAATGAGATTTTTTCAAAGTTACTCTCACGTACGTGTATCGTCGTGTGTAAAGGGATATAAGATTTTATCTCGGTTTCGGACAAGTTTACTTCGCGTAAAATGACCAGTGAGGATACAAAGATACAAAGGGAGGTAAAACGGAACAATACAAAATAATGCGTTTCAAACGTCAGACAATGAAACTGTCCAAGTTTAGAAAAGAAGCGTGATTTTATTGCTAAAGGTACCTATTCCAAACGATTGTTTAATTAGATGTACTAGATTAGATAGATAACTTTACAAAACAGGATTAACATGGTCATGAATACGTTTTTTAATTACCTAATCATGATTACCTTCCAACAATAGTGTCCCGCAAAGTATCATACTTTAACACATTGCTATTGTTCTATCCGTTGGCAATGAATAGGTTCATTCGACCATTCAAACATTATAGTACATTTACGCTAATGGATATACCGTTATTGCTGTTACTAGTGTGAAACCTATTTTAAAAGTAATGTAATACTTGAACGTATTTAACGCGGTGGAAACCTTAAGCGCACTTGTGAGTCATCGTATTGTTCAACGTAACAAGAGGAGGTTTACAAATCAACCACCTATCTCCTGTATTAGTATTCTGTTACATTTCTCTAATGGGACACTAAGAGAAGTACCGACAACTGTACAATGCGAGATATTTTCAAGTAAAATATATGTAGATATGGTAAGTGTTAGAATGAAGAGTGTTTAGGAACTTTTAAGGAACATTATTAATCCCTTTTAGAACTAAGATAGTCATATTGCATCGTTTTAACTAAAACCCTGTATTATAATAATGACGTTTATTTCAAACAATTTTACAGTTCATAGTGGTTAGTAGGATACAATTTATAATCTTAAAAGTAATGTTAGTAAAGTGTTTGGTTTTCTAATAATTATTAGTATTAGTAGCCATACATTAAATAGGTAGTTGAAGCTTTTTTTTAAATAAGTGGTCTAAAATAAAAGCCCTTTTTTTTAAATTACAGTGAATTTTTATTAACTCATAGCATCATTTAACAATACATTTTCCTTGTTCCACCCGCTATCAGCTGTTCGACATAAAACATCCATTTCTATTCTAATGTTAGTACAAAAGCGGTAATGGTACTGTTTGTCCGATAAAGTAGGTTAAGTACGCACTCGCCCTTAAAATCCACTTAGGTAAAAGGTATAAATAAAGTAGTTTTATTACAATGTATCACATAATTTATTAATGAATAGATAGTTTCTTTACGCAATCAGCAAAGTATACGTGATGGAAATGAAAACCCAACCAGTAAAGGTCAAGTTTGTCCCGGGGGAATTGGAAATTAATCAAAAGAATATAGGAGTTCAAAGTTAAGCTTCGACTTTCCAGTACAAAGCGGATAACAAGTGACTAAGCAAAGGTTGATGAAGTATAGCCACGAGAGAACATGATGTCGTCCCTTGCGTGACCCAAAAAACTGCACACAGGAAGATTTAATGAAGGCTACTGACAACGCCACTCTTGTAGCGGAGTTTTGGGCTGACACTGTGTAGGTTTGTTGTCGACACGACAAGAAGAATTATTGCCTACCTGTTCTCCCTGAAGTGCTGAAGCAGCCTCAGTATGAGTCGCGGCATCATCGCCTCGGCGACGCACATCAGCTCCGCCGGCGCCGTGCCCGGCCGGGGACATTTGTTGCCATGGTTGCTGCAGAACCTGCGAATAATAAAAACATTTGTAAAACGACAGCACATCAGATTTGTTACAAAACAGCGCCTTAAAAACTACGTAAGAACTAAGATCCTACCACAAGGTGGACCGACACCATCATAAAGGTAGCAGGAAGGCGCTGGACGCAGGCCGCTACCAACCAGGCAACATGGAAAGCATTGGGGGAGTCCTATGTTCAGCAGTGGACGTCCTATGACTGAGATGATGATGATGTGTTTGGCGTGACGAGCCTTCATCTGTACATTAGGTTTAGGATGACGCGTGATAATCAGCGGCGACTGGATCTCCACACAAATTCAAAGAATATGATTCTTCATTTGAAAAGCCAAATTCCTGAAATGAGACCTACGAAACTACTGCTGTAAGAACCGATATTGACAGTATTAGAATCATATCAGAATCAGTAATGGCCCATAACGGTATCTATGGAGACACCCACAGGAACTGACTGTTTAGAATTGTAGTCACGGCCTGCACTACTTTCATAAATGCGTTTGACTTTTTCATACAATTTAATGTCTCACGGATGTTAGAACCTCATTAGTGTGTCCAGTCGACAATCAGTATCATTTTAAACCCAAGAGATCTAACGTGCGAGGTTATGGGCTAATGGGCATATCATCTAACGTTGATCAATATTGGTATCTTGTTTGACGCCTCAATTAGTAACAAACTGCCCTTCGAGGCTTGAGTGGCCTGATCTAGTTCGCCAGCCCAATTGGTGTCGATGCATATCGAGCCATAAGTATGCACAATTATTTAGATCAGCACCATTTCCTCGTTTCACTCGCACACAGCCAGTTTAGTATGGCAATGGGTGAGCAATAGGCGGTCATTGTCAAGAGCGCACATTTGTATTCCGAATGTGCGCGGGCGCAACCTGGGTGAAAACTATTACGTAGGCGAACTCCCTGCTCTGTTTGCCTAGTAGTTGTTGACTCGTTTCAATAAAAGGCACTTTAGCGAGTTTTATGGGACGTAAATTGTGTCTTTGACATATTATTAATGATGATGTCATGTTCCTTTATGTTGTGCTTTAGACGCGTGTAAATGACCGTCATTTGTCCAAATTAGTTTAGTGTTTAGGTGTCAACGGACGTACAAGCATCCGGCAATGCATTGTGGAAAGAAACAGATAAAGACTTCAACATACATTAGTTGTTGTGTTCAAACTTACAATGAAGCACAAATTATAATACATAATTTTCATATAAATCTGTATTATTTACAACAGAACACAATACGAATATACTTTATTTAAAGCCATAAATTGCTCTTGCATGACATGCTTCACACAGTCATTGTTGTAAATCCAAACAAAAATATGACTTCAATGTATTTACTTGACCATAACACTATCAACAATCTAGATCTATTTATAGCCACGAAAATTTAATAGTACTGGGCGTTGGAACGCCTTAAAAAGCGTTTAATCCAATCATTATCTCATGCCGCGTCTTCGTAATAGCTTTTGGAACAATCAGCCTAACCAGAGCATAAAGTCGTATGGTCTCGCCGGTGACGTCACCAGCAGCCAAGTCAAGGCCTGTCAAGTTCAAGCGTTAGGGTCGGAAGGTCGTGCCTCTCGCTTGCTTGTGGTCCTGATTCGATTATGCGTCTCTTTCTGATTGCGGAGGCTAGTCGTTAATACAGGCTATTACTAATTTCAGTGCCACAGGGTCTGCAGACGTCATAAATCACGGATTTCTTGGTCGAGCATGTGACGTTTATGTTGAATCAGTGACGCAACGGAAGCATTATAAGTATTTCACGCAACGGAGTTACAGATTTAGAATAAACGGTTTACGCACGAAGCAATCAAGGGAAAACCTTGACTTTGTGGAACGCCCTATAAACCTATAATGGCGTGGGCAAAACGTGCACTCATTATATTGTTCGAAAAGGGCTTATCCTACTCGTATCAAGAATATTATGAGGTAAAGATCAAATTGGTCAATTTCATTTTATGGTCGCAGTAACTCCTGTGGAAGCTTGTCCATCTCTACACGATCAACTATAACATACTATTTTAAGCTTTCGCGATATAAATACTTTATTAAACTTTGTCGGTGGTGGAATTTCAGCTATAATAACTATGATGCCCTGGAGGTTTTGTAAGAAGCTCAAATCTTATCTATTCGCCTGTCTAGACTCTAGTCGCTATCAGTTGAACCAGGCCTGTTCATCTCCTCGAGTTTACATCGAAAACAAAACACGCATGATGGCCCACCTACAGGGTACTATTCGACAAGGCCTCACATACGAGCGAACATTGACTCACGCACGCGTATTCTTGTGTATGATGGGAGAAAATAAAGAAAATGGTGTACTAAATACTGTGCAGTATTTAACTGCCTAAATAATAATAAAAACACAGAATGTACTTTTTTAAGTTGCCTCAAGACACTGAGAGGTAAATAAGTAGTTAATATTATTCACGATAATTCATGCTAAATCATGTATTTCCTCCGCCATTTTCCGCAGTTTGGCACCTCACGTCACATCATTTTACCGAAGTCAGCCCTATAGCTTCGGCGCAGTGCCGATCACTGACGTTTGTCAACAAAATGTTGCTTGACTCTTGAGACAGGCTATATTATACCATATTGTTAATGACATTGAGCATATATTGTTTTAAATACCTTCGCGAAGTAAAACTTCTGTACGTAGTACTTATTATTATTCTGTGGTTGAACCAACACTAATGAATTTACATTATAATCTAATACAGATATCATATCACCTTTCTCGCGCTATCGCGACTTTCACAATAACGTGTATCTCGATGTCAGGCCAAGGTCACGGGCATGCGCAAGGTCAAGGTATTTGTTGACTGTTTGACCCGCATTGTTTTAAATGCCACAAGTCCAGGGCCGGATCGTGAATTTGTGGGGCCCTGGGCTGAAACTTCTTATGACGTTGTCACGTAAAAATATCGTCCGTAAACCGACTTTACAGACAACTTTTTTTTTTTTTTTTTTTTCAAATTATGGCCTACTTTTTAGCGGGATCTGGGGGCCCCTTGTAACCCCGGGACCCTGGGCCCTGCAGCCCAATCAGCCCATAGGTAGATCCGGCCCTGCACAAGTCATGTGTTTTTCAATCGTTATAGGACAGAGTTTTCAATGAGATGGAATAACTTTGTGTCTTTTCCACCATTTTACTAATCAGTGCCTCATGCCTGCGAGGATGAGGCGGTCTTTTCATCATCATCTTATCATGAAATCAAATCAAGTTTATATCTAATCCGCTATTATTTGATACTGCCAGATGACGTAATATTCCGTCGGCGGTCTCTTCGATTCAGTCGGGAACATCACCGGCAGTAAACAACCACGACTGATCCATATTTATACCGGGCGTAGGCTCACATTGACGTTAGACGTCACAATTTTGTTTCCGTTGTTGTATCAATTTGTTAGATAATCTGTTGCTATGAGCTATGAACCTGAGGTTTATTGAATTTTTTCGGGCCTTTTTATTAAACAACACTCAAGAACAGTCAAGAATAGGTACAAGAATAGGATTTTTTTCCGTATCATGCGATTCATCATCATCATCATTTCTGCCATAGGACGTCCACTGCTGAACATAGGCCTCCCCCAATACTTTCCATATTGATCGATTGGTAGCGGACTAGCGGCCTGCATCCAGCGTTTCCCTGCTACCTTTACAATGTCGTCATCATGCGATTAGTCAGAAGATTATGAGCAGATTTTTTCTGTGACTAAAAGCGATGAGAGCAGAATCCCCATTGGTACTCCCTCCATGATTAATTCTGGCTCTCCATGTCCAGAATGTGCATGTGAATAGGATTTAAAATTCTATTCTGTCTAAATATTAAATTACAACCAATCACAGGTTCAAAACTGGATTTTAGTGTGAACCTAGTGTTTTGAGTGTCGTCTTTTCGAAATACGAGACTTGTTAGATAATTTCGGAAAGGATTTACTTCATTATGAGTACTGTGTGCCAAAATTTCGAAGGTTTTGGCAAACCCAATTACGCAGCAAAATCGCACTGCAGGCAACACTGTAGAGACGCCCAGTATAATTTAATACAGAGTTGCTAACCGGCAACGAGTCCTAAGGTCGACTAAGCCCGGCATACAGTCTGCAGTCCACCTTTATTATACCTATTTGAATGCATCCAACAAAACGTATGCAACTAACGCGTTTATTCACACCGTGAATCACGAGCGCTCATGTGCCCTATACACCATAAGAACTCGATGCCTTCACCACCCATGCAGTATTTGCAGTGAATATTAAGTGTTTCTTGAAAGCTGGTCAAATAAACGTGTAGTGTAACTAAATCTTTTGACTAACAGGATTAAGGCTCGGTTGCATCATCTTACTTTAACTTTAACAAACGTCAAAAGTCTGTAAAACTCCATACAAAAAACACCGGTTATCGCCAAAGTTACGTTTACGGTGAAAGTTAGGTGGTTCAACTTAGTTTAAAGATCAAGCAAGATGTACTTTTACACACATAAGGGAATGCTTTTTTCGTTGTAGAGTTTAACTTAATATATTCACTAACGTGACATACCTACTGGTGGTCTAAGTACTGAATTCCAGTAACAGAAACGGCTGTGACCCTCCTACACGGCCCCATTTAGGGTTAGTGACTAACTGGAGTCGAGTGTAATTTGATTATTTTATTATCTCCTCTCAGGTCATTCTATCACACGTTTATATGTCCACTTATTATGATGCTCACTTCTGATTTGCGAATACGGCAACCTCTTATAATCGTTAGTGACATGTGCAGGCAGGCATTTCCGAGTTCAACGTTATTGAATTTTTAAGACCCTTTTTTTGTTCTCGCCACCCATGCGAATATGTATTTGGTTGGAAAATCATTTTTGATTAACATGAGCAATCAGGCCATATTAAAATTTTGACTTCATCCAACAATCCATATTAATTTGTGTATGACGCACACAAGTTCGAGGCGATATTAGATGCCTACTGCATGAGCAACTTTGCATTCGTAATTCTATCGTTGAATGTAAACGTCTTTTGGCACTGGTGGTAGCAAGTGGACTGAAAATTTGTACTTTGTTGGCGCAAATAAATAGTAATGATGCAAGGCAGTAAACTTGCTTAACGACTGCAGAAATGTGACCACTCCTGAAGCCCTTCTGTGGCCTGTACGGCTGAGCCCCGTAACTCTTGTCAAAGGGCCTCGAGGATACCTTCATATTTTTGTGGGATGCCCATATACTTTTGGCAGGTAGAGTTCCACATAAAGGCCGTAGCACATTTATCAAACCGGAAAGGGAGCGTAATTATACCATCTCTAGCGATTGACAGCGCGCGAAGGCGATGACAGCTCGCAAAAGGCGATACGGTCTTGTTCCCCTTCCGAGTTGATATTCTGCTATGACCTTAACGTAGTAGCCAAGCGCACTTTGTATGTAGATTGCCTTCTGCTCCATATATTTTGTGGTGTTACTGAGCTAGCACTGACCCGTCCTTCTTCATGACGGACTCAGGAACATATTGAAGTCGTGCGTGGAGTGGTCGCCGCGGTGGAAGCACTCGCGACATATGGACATGCACGGCGACATGCCGCTCGTCCGGCACCTGTAGGCCACCACGCGTGGGATCCAGACGAGGCCGCATCTGTCGTGTTACTGAGCTAGCACTGACCCGTCCTCCTTCATGACGGACTCGTCGCCGCAGTCGCACGCGCCGCCCGCCTGCGACAGGAACATGTTGAAGTCGTGCGTGGAGTGGTCGCCGCGGTGGAAGCACTCGCGGCATATGGACATGCACGGCGAGATGCCGCACGTCCGGCACCTGTAGGCCACCACGCGTGGGATCCAGACTAGGCCGCATTTGTCGTGTTTGTCGTAGCTCCTCACTGTGGACGAAGACAGTAAAATTACAATAAGGTTCTTCCCAAACTTTGAACTGAGGTAAATTACTCCTTAAAACTAGGTAAACTAATAAAGAGAGATCTGAGAGAACTAGTAAGGAGAAGACAGTGAGTTAAAAAGTACAAGTAGACAGTAGTATACTCGTTGCTAAATCTCGTTGAAACGTCACTCAAGAATTCACAAAACAACATAAAAGGTCAAACCAAAATCTACGTAGAAATGAAGCTCGAGTAGAATACAATACATTCAAGCCTGTGATTGACCTGAGATATTGAAGCGACGCGTGTCACATTAAAGCACAGATTATTTCTACGTAAACATTGTAGTATTCATAAGCAATCAACGTTTAGTAAACAATACACAATCTTTAGATAAATAATAACGTGTGAACGAAGATAATGTAGAAGAATGAACTCTTGGTAGGTTGAGCAAAGTTCAGGAAAAAATAGAAATAGGAGCTCAAAACATACTCTCGTATTTAAAAAATACACTGATGTGTGTTCGTGTAAGGGACACATACGGAAGAAGATCATTCACCATTCCTTTTCCGTGGGATAAATATAGAAGCAGAGCAGGACGTCGATTTAAACGTCGTGGAGACGAATTACCATCCATCGAAGAAAATTAAAGGAAGAATTCAATTACTCGATTATACAATCACTCACTGCCACAACCAAACGATCTTAGGAAATACAGAACCAAAATTATTGATGATCAAGGTGGAAGACATAACAAGTAATGATTTTTTGCCATTAAAATAATCATTAATAAAGGCGGATGAATGAACCACGTTCAGCAAAGATGTCATCGACATACACAGACACAGATTAAGCCTGTTTTACGATTCAGGATCTAAAACTGACTCGAATGCGAACGAAATGGCAAGACGCAAATTTTATTAGAAGTGGTCGGACTGGATCAATAAAAAGACAGAAGCTCAGAAAGTGATTAGGAGAGTTAATTAGTTTGGGTCTAGCCATCTTTGAACTTAAGTGACCTACGTATCATGAAAACTAATTCACATAAATTACTGTAGACGAAGGATTCCTTATCACCCTACACCTGCAGGGCTAAGATGCGCGCCGTGATAAACTGCTATCGCGGCGTTATATCGATTTTGACGTCACTATATCGTTTTATCTACCGGCGCTAACATGGCNCGCGGACGAAGTCGCGGGCACAGCTAGTAATGTAATATTATTTCTTCTCTTCTTAAATCTACTACTTTTAAAAATCTCATAACCTAAATAATTAAGCGATAACATATTTATTTGTAATCTTTGGTTTCCATTAGTGATAACTAGAAATCAAGTAATATAAAAAAATCTATTTACTTTTTTAAAACTTGGTACCAGTAATGGTACCTTGGTAACTGTCCCAGTTTCCCCACAGAAAAAATCTTTTAAAATCACTATTTTACAGTTTCTTATTTTAAGACCTTAACTAGAATTGTGTAAGACCTTATGTACAACATGGAATGCAGTAAAGATATTGACTATTGACTATAGAAGAGGGAAAGCACCAATAAACATTATTTATCTAAAGAGGAAAGAGGGTAAAACACAAGTAAAGTGCAAGACATGTAAATACATTGAAATCATTAAGTATGTTCATAATATAATGCTTGCATACTTGTATTAATAGGATGTACCTATAGCCTTTTAATTTCTATTAAAAGTTACTGTACTACATAATCCTACTGAATTACAGTACTGAACAGATTTTGATAGAACTAGTAAACTANAATGGCCGATTAGGTATCAAGATCGAGTTCAAAGCTATAAGAAATTTCGTCTCTATTAAAACATTACGGGCTTAGTAAATATTTCAGTGTAAATATAATGTAAAATGGTGTAGAATGCTTAACTTCCACTACTCTTCAGTCTCTATCATTATAAATCGCTGATATTGTACGAACGAACGATATTGTATGTTATTTAATTTAGTGAAACTTCAAAACAAATGCTTCAAAACTGATAAAGGAGCCTTACACTTTATGACACGTGTAGTGTAAAATTATAATTGTCAACTGACTTAAATAGTAAATACATAATTTACCTTTATTTAAAATATTGGTTTTTTGTATTGCTAACCGTTAACCCCTCGTGCTAAGCGTGCATTTAATCAGGGTTCAGAAGACATTTATGAGTTTGCCTACTTAGTTTTTCTACACTGTGGTTACTTGGAGAGGTATTTATGGGCCCTCTAAGGCTTAATTAAGGATCTTTGATGTTCAATCTGTTACAGGAAACTTGGTAATTACGTCGCGTAAACAGTAAACTTTACGCAATCTTTTTTGACGTAAATGGATGGAGAGGAATTGGATAATTGAAGTAATTAATGCCGTTATACATACATAGTCATATTTTTAAATGGCTTTTAATAAATCAGTTAATTTTCGTAATGTAACTTTTCAAAAGAGCTATTCATCTGTCCTGTTTTTCAGGAATTGGGTATCGCGGTAATTAAATTAATTGCGATATAATACTTGCAAGCGAATATTAAACTTCTTTCAAGTGTTAATTTTTGTTCAATCATGAATGAAAAAATGTGTTAACTTTACGACAAAAGTCATATCAAGAAATCTACCAAAAAGATCTGAATATTTAGAAATACACAAATTTTTGTAAACAGTCTAAAATGAACTCGGTAGAGTTGATTAATACTCGACCTAATTACAAACCTAATAAAACTAAATCCCTTTAACACCACCCGCGGCAAAATACACGCCAAAAATTGCAAACGCAATTAACTAAAGCATTAACCACGTCACCTTTGATCTCACACATCACGATTAGTCGATCCCCTGTATAATCTCGTACCGCAAAAACTTAATTAACCAAAATATATACGGGTGTGTATAAACAACCGCCAAGTCTCCCCTTCTCCCCCGAGACTTTATACGGTGATACTATTTCGTGTAATGACTCCAAAATGAGGATACACATCCCCACAATATACGAGGCGTAGTGAAGTGACGGATGGACTGGAAGAGACTGTTCGAAGCCTCATCTTGTTCACTTTGCTATGACTGAAGCCTGTTTTTAGGGTTCCGTAGTCCTGACAAGGAACCCTTATTCCAGTAGGAAACAGATTTCAAAACAATCAAGATATTTTTGAACTAAACATTAATGAAATAGCTAGTTGATAAACAAGGACATCATGGTGATGACTGATCAATCAAACCAGAAGGATTCCCGATGCCTGCATATTGTTTGCAGTTTTGACTTATCATTGAGCTTGCTAACGAAAGGAATACTTGCCTTTGTTCAAACTGTGTGTATAAATAAAAGTTATTTGGGATATTTGGTGAAATTCTCGCGAAGTGCCTCACGCGAAGCGACGAGCCATTCCGCGGATCAAGTGACGCGCGCGAAATGAACGTCGCTAAAGTAGATCAAACCTAACATTGGCGTTGCAGAGCCACCTATCAATTCTACAGGCATGGTTTTGAGCCATCTGCTAGATATATTTAAAAAAATACTGCCATTTCCAGCCACTTATATCCCCGTCCTGTTATTCACAGCAGCTCCTTAATTCATACACGTCACGTTCCGCGAGGCGTCGAGCCATTCCGCGGATCGAGTGACGCGCGCGAAATGAACGCCGCTAAAGTATCGTTCCCATCTCTTCATATTAGGGATTTCTTATTCCCACCGCTGGGCTTATTGCTTTGATAACAAATAGGCGGTTTTAATTTTGTGGGATATTGAATTGATAGAGACCTCAGATGGTGACAAATAGGTTGAAATTCAAATAATTTTTACCTATACTTTATTGAGAAGGATTTCAACGGCACAGCCGAAGAAATTAATACCAGGTGCTGTGTACCTATAAATATAATGTTCTCCACTTGTAATCGATTTACTGAATTACCTACAACTTATAATTTTCTAGTATAGCTTTCAGTCCATTTTGTACAAAAGAGTATGGGTCTAAAACCTACACAATTAATGCCCGTTATACCACAGATAATCTATTCGTCGTAGGTAGGTAGATGGTATCTTTTAAAGGTTGACTCATTTAAAAAAAAATTCTAAATCGGTTCATCAAATTCAAATGCCTTTATATTAATATTACCTATCATCACTCCTTTGATTCTAATCTCGTAACAAATTCAAGTTATCGTAAGCATCGAAGCCATTATAACAAAAATAATAAACCGTTGAAGTAACAGCCACACCTCCTCGCTACGAAAAAGGAACTAAGGCCATTTATACAAAGCGAGCGGTTACATAATTCATTTAAACGATTTCCTCGAGTAATTGAATTGAAATTTTCACTACCAGTGCTGCCCTCTAGAAAAACTGAGCACGCACACAGTCTAATATCCCCCTTATATAAATATTTTGTCTCAATGAAAATGGAATTATGACTCGAATTCACCCCTACTGCTTTTGGGTCACATAATTTATGTGGCACGCCATAGCACTTGAGGAATTTTTCATATGGGAGGAAATTGTTATATTATTTTAAAATGCAATATGATGGATATATACGAGTATATTCCTCGGGGGAAAGTATTATTTTGAACATGTATGCTGTATGGGATTAACTTGAAATATTTGTTTAGGGCTCCTCAAATGTTTGTATACGATTTTTATTGGACGTATCGAGTTTCAAATGTTTGCAGGTCTCCGATATTACAAGAGTCGTTGGAAATTTTTACTGTTTTTAGTGGGCAAATATAATTTAAATCATGTAAATACCTAACTAATCATTTTAAATTTTACATACACTCTACCTACTCTTCTGTTACGTAATTATTATTCTCTCCCCTGATAAAATAATTAAGATTTTACTACTATTAAACATTCAACTAGCAAATATTCTATTAGATTCTGTACGGAAACGATTCGCCTTATAATTGATACTACTTTCGCAAGGAGCTTCCTGAAATGAATCCAGTTAATAAAATAAATGCTATCACGTAGCTAACTGCCTCGTATTAAAATGCTAATTTCTAAAACCAACCTTGTAATAATCTTAATTGAGATGAGAGTCCTTAATAATGAACCGAAACGAGACTCGTATGAAACCGCGTCGTTACGCGTCGCATTAGATTCAACTCCTACGTACGGCTACTGAGGCTATAAACTGTGGGGAGTTATTATCAGTTATGATAGCGATTCTACTCGTAGCAGTTCTATATTAGGAGTGTGTTTCTGGCAGGATATAATCACTTCTATTCTGCGTAGAGGACGACTATGGTAAATTATAATTTAAATACCTCTGGGCTCAAAGGGCGTAAGGGACACAAGACCGAATACATTTTGTAAACAGTTTTGCTCAGAATTTAATTCTCTATCGATCTGTAATTTATGTGAACATCGTGATGTTCTCTTGCGTAGGGAGTTCAGTCAAGTCCTCTATTTATTCCTGATAAATAAGAGACCTTAGGATTAAGGAAACTATTAGAGAAAGTCCAAATCTCTGATAGCATAGCAAAACACAACCAATTTTTTAAGGCAAGAAGACAAGATACTCGTATTTTAGCTGTGTCACATTACAAACTAAGTAGTCGCCTTAAGGGTTGGTATTACCACCATTACTGCACTTCATAATGAAAGCTATTAAATTACACACCGCACTAATTTGCAAATCCTTACCGTAAC